AAACATTTTTAAAGGCAATTACAATTACTGCCTGGCATTTGATGGAAAGAAATCTTGTCAGCATTGTCCCTTGTGTGTCAACTGTCACAATTTTCTAAAAATTTGGAGGCGAAAAATAGGCAGGCTCTACTATTTGCTAGCCTCGATTAGGGTTAATTCAATGTGTGTCTGCAAATAATAGTGTTTAATGTAATCTCTCTAATTACAGATAAAACGCATTTTCAGTCATGCTCATCACTGACAGTATTTTGGGATAAGTTAAACTGACAGCTGCTTTCTACAGGGAAAGGGAAAAAAAAAACAAACCTTCCTTAGGGTTGTGTTGAATTTTTGCTTTTCTTTCTCTCTCTCAAGCATTGAAATTCAGAAAAATATGAAACTAGACACTTCCGCTGTAGATACCAACTTTGAAAATCATGACATAGTCTATCTCTTGGGAATTTGATATGGTTTCTATCTCCCACCTCCATCAGTGAATATCTAACCTGAATTCACTCAGTAAGCACTTCTAAGGGTTTGTGCTGAACTGGGTGCAGTGCTAGATACTCAGGATGATTCTACCAAACTACCCTCCACGATGGCTTCAGAAGCCAAGTCAGGCTTCCTACTGTACTGAACACCATAGTTAGAGTGCCACTGTATTTACAGCTCTTTCAGATTTAAACTATTCAAGTCACAATACTTTCTGAAGGGTCAGGGCATGTTCTTCTTCAATACCAACAGGATAACAAGACAGCGCTTTCCCCTTTGGTAACCAGAAGCCTTTTTTCTATGTCTCTGAGTCTGTTTCTGTTTTGTAAATAAGTTCATTTTTATCATTTTTTAGATTGTTTCTTTCTTTTCTATGGCTGAATAATATTCCATCTATTCATCTGTTGACAGATGGAAAAATACAATTTGAGCAAAGAGAAAACAAGTTGCAAAAGAATATATACATCATGATACAACTAATATACAATTTTGAAAGTGTAACTCTAAACAATAAATTGTTTAGGAATATATATATATATATATGCAATGATAAACCAAAATTCAGGCTGTTGGGGAGAAGTGAGGAATATTATTAGAAAATCATAGAGATTCCAACAGTTCTAGAATTGGGTGATAAGTTAATAGATATTTGTTATATTATTGTTTTGTACATACAAATCATTTTACAATTATTTTTTCTTTTAAATTAATCTTATTTTTTGTATATATGAAATATTTTATTTTTAATCAGTTTTGTTTTTCCAGTTTTATATTACTTTAGCTTCATGTAGGCTCTTTTGGCAATATAAGAAGCAAAAATGCAAATATATAAGGATGTACTCTTTATTGTTTTAAATAAGAAAAAAAAACCCTAAATATGTATATATGGATAGTGAAACATATGAAAGCAGCTATGTTAGGATAGTATACTTGCATGTCTTTTTTAATATATACCTAAAAACACCTTTGTATAATTCTGAACAATTGATTAGAAACTGGCAGGAAAAAAATGGGCAAGGGTGGAATAATCAGGGTGAAGAAATTAGGATTTTAGGAACAAAAGGTGGAAATTGTGTCAGGAACACATGCATTCAATGTGCAAAGTGAAGGCCTGTCAAGGACTGCCTGGCTCTCTTCAGGGACAAAGAGAGTGGGTTCCGGGGTGAAGAAGCTGCCCTTGGTGCGTTTAGAGAACATGGTCAGAAGGGGACAGAGAGCTGACTCTAGAACCTGAAGGAGGACAACTCTGAGGCTGCTGACGACAGAGCCTGTGTAAGTTTTAAATCGACTGGAAATTGGGAAGTTGACTGGGGGCAGGAAAGAGCTGTGAAGCGTTGAATGATTGAAGTCCACTCTGAGGACAGAGAACACTTGTATTTAGAGGGGGAAGCACAAGGAAGGAGCTCCAACAGTGGAGCAGAGCTTCCTTATTGTGAGATTCTGCAGTCTAAAGCTAAGGAGGGACGAAGTTCCTGGAGACAAATGGTGGATACCTTGAGTTAAGGAGGCTGAAGAATCGGTAGGACAGGTGGTAAGTTTGACAGAAAGAGAAAATGAGGTTGGGACAGAGCATAAGCTAGTAGCTCTGGTGCTTGGGTAGAGTTTCTTACCACTTGCTGATGAGCTAGGAACTCGGCGTAAATGATCTCTGTGCTCAGAGAGGAGGCAGGGGTCTAAAGACTAAGCTCCAGGTAGGCTGCCGGAGGTTTTGGAGCCGTAGAGACAAGCGTTCAAAGTCCACGGATGTCAGGCAAGGTGCTCAGCCTCCCCTAGCTCCCTTCCCCATTCTCAGACAGAGGATAACGACACCTTCTCAGAAGCAGTGAGCAGTAAGTGATGTCATGAGTGTTTCTATCAGGATAGCTGGCACACATAATAGATGCCTAATAAGTGTTGAGTCTCCTCTTCTCGAATCAAATACCCTTAGAACCCCAACCTGGAGGATGACCAGCATCACGGCAGGTGATCAGGTAAGGGGCCAGTGATCCCTGGGTTCACTATTAGAGCCATGAAATGGGCTGAGATTAAAAAAAAAAAACAAAAACAGAAATGACAGTGTGCTTGCAAAACTAACTGAATGGAACACACAAAAGTATTGTTTATGTTAGTGTCACATGCAGTTCAGGATGACACTGAAGAATAATTTTCTGACATATCTTTTGAAGAATTTTGTTCATGGTGAGGAGTGTCAGATAATAAATGGTACAAGAACCACCCTCTTCGAAGCATGATGAGATTTTCAATTTATTGGGCAAAGTACAGGCTTTTTCAAGTATTTGGACAAGATAATGGACTATTTAATACTCTCAGATTTTAGTATTTTCTCCTTTTTGATTGTGTTCTTTTCCATTTTTCTCCTAGTCTTAGAGCAAAAGTTTATAAGTAGCTTGGTCATGAAACTACCTGATAGAAAAAAAATGAGGAGAGTCTGAAATCAGTGCCTAAGGCAAAAAAAATCACATATAATCAAGATTATCTTTGAAAATAATTTGCATTATGCCTTTTATAAGCTCAAAAGTCAACATTTAGTCAAAAGAATTGAAAGCAAAGTGTTGAAAAATAATATTTGTGCATGCACGTTCACACCAGTATTACTCACAATAGTCAAAAGGAGGAAGCAAATCAAGTGTCCATTGACACTTGACAAGGTGTGATATATTACTTGTTATGGAATATTATTTAGCCTTAAGAAGGAAGGAAACTCTGACACACGCTGTAACATGCCGAATCTTGAGGACATCATGCTGGGTGAAACAAGCCAGAAAGAGGACAAACACTGCTTGAGCCCATTCACATGAGGTCCCTCGGTAGTCAAATTCATAGAAACAGGAAGGAGAATACTGGTTACCAGGGCTGTGGGAGGGAGGAATAGTTATTGTTTAATGGAAACAGAGCTTCAGTTCTGTACGAAGAGTTCCAGAGATTGTTTAAACAATAATATGTGGTCTTAACATCACCGTACATTTAAAAATGGCTAAAATGGTACGTTTTGTGTGTGTTTTACCACATTTTTTAAAAAGTCAATTAAAATTGTGCACAAAAATAACAATTCTTGTGTTATCTTTGTGCATTTAACCCATGGAAATTCATCCATAAGCATATGCCCTTTATCTAAAACTGATCTTTCTTGCCTCCTTCCCCACTCAAACTCAGACTTTTGCCCCTAGAGTCCCCAGAGAAAGAGCTTCTCCACTCCCCTTCTCTTTTATCCCTTTGGTCCAGGCATTGACGTTTGAATTTGTATGCAAGATGGTGCTTTACCATATCTCTCATTCTCTTCTTACAATATTTTATAGTTGAGGAATGAAGGTACTGGCAAGAAGCAGAGAGACGTGTTTGGCTCCTAGACCACACACAGCACCTAGATGTCACAGAAAATACTTTACATATGAACTAATAAAGAAAATCATGAGAACGCCCACATTTCTGTTTTTGAGCTATCAGTGCATGAAAAAAACCCACATTTGGAACTGTGAGATTAGGTTTGACATAAATACACTTCCGTGTGTAAAATAGAAAGCTAAGGGGAACCTCCTGCAAGGGGCGCGCAGGGAGCCCAGCTTGGTGCTCTGGGATGACCTCGGGGGTGGGGAGGGACGGGATACACGGATACATAGAGCGGATCCACATCTTTGTACAGCAGAAACACAACACTGTAAAGCAATTATATGCCAATTAAAAAAAATGTTTGTACTCACTTGGAACGTACATTTGGGATATGCTAAGTCATTTCAGTCATGTCCGACTCTTTGCAACCCTGTAGCCTGCCAGGCTCCTCTGTCTCTCAGATTCTCCAGGCAAGGATATGGAGTGGGTTGCCATGCCCTCCTCCAGGGGATCTTTCCCACTCAGGGATCAAACCCGCATCTCTTAAGTCTCCTGCATTGGCAGTTGGGTTCTTTACCACTAGTGCCATTTGGGAAAGCCCATATGTTTGGGCCAGTGTTGAATGACAGCTGTATTTGCATTGCCCACAGGGGCGTTTCTAAGCAATGTAGTAATGGCTTCAGCAAAAAGGCAGAGTACCAATCAATCTTTGAGAACTCTAACCCCGACTCATAAATTCTGGTTCACAAATGACCGATATCCCATTAATCTGAAACAGAAAGAAATCTTTTACATGCCTAAATGATACTTTTAGGCAACAACTTGTTAACTCCACTATATACAGTTGAAAGCAAAAGCGTCATACACACTGCATGTTTGTATCTCCTCAAAGCACCCAATTGTGCTTTGCTTGCAGGAAGTAATCAATAGATGGTTATTGAATTTAGAATGTACCTCTTCCCAATCAGTGAAGTTTAATATATTTCTATTTCAGAACGCCTATTAATTTTTCAGCACTAGTAAGCCTTTTAAAAAAATCCATTTGAGATATGTTTAAGAGTTCACACGGGGTTGCAAAGAGTCGGACATGACTGAGTTACTAACACTTTCACTTTCTTCACTTTAAGAGTTCACAGCAAATACCATTATATAAATGATTGAGAAAATACCATTAAATGAAGCATGCTTATTCAACAGACCAGTAGCCATTGATAAAATGTAATTTAATTTAATCATTTAAATTTACATTGTTAATGTACAAGAGCATTTCTTTCAAACACAAGGTTAACACCCAGTAAAGAGCAATGCTGAAAGAGGAGCAGAGAAACTTTGGAAAACTCTGCCGTCTGAAATGGAAGCAAGGCACTCTCCATTAACAGCTGGTGGATTCCTGATTTCTGCCCACAGAAGGCATATTAGCACTGAGAGAGCTCTCCACAAGGGAAGGTCACCTGCTTAACTTCTTTGCCGTCTTCTTCTGAGCTAGTTCAGTCAACCACTCCGTATAAACTTGTGTGTCAACATTGAGACCAAAAAAAAAAAAAAAAGAGAGCTGAACTGATAGAAGACTTGCTGGGGGCCTGGGGGGCTCTCATAGTCGTAGTAACTATGGAAGACAGAGGAACACTGGCTGCGCTCTTTATTTTCAGCACTAGTGTCTGGACCTATAACTAAAAACCTTCTTCATCCCTTCCAACCAATCAGTATTGACTAAAAAGTCTTTTCCTTAAATCTAATGGGTGTAACAATAACAAGTGACAGCATTTCTCCAGGGCTCTGGTTTTCTGTTTTGTTTCTCCTTTAGAGACATGACAGAAAACAAGGATTAACATTCTAAGACGAACAGTGCACAAAAGGGCTACACGTATGCACAGCATTTCTAATTTATTCAAATTCAGCTTGAATTTGGTCTGAAGCTACCTTGTATGAAATGTCAGCTTTCCTGATATTTAGTAATGTCTATTACGTCTGCATATAAACTCAAACAATTACTGCAAAAGTACGACTTGACTCGTGGTAAAATGTAAGTATTAGTGGTTATTTTTAAAAGCCTGTTTTCCTGCAGATGCAGTAAATTAAGTAAGAAGACCATGGAAAGAAGAATTAGGTCCTAGTCTTGATTTTGTTACCAGCTGTTTGATCTTGCGTAGCTCTGCCTTTTGCTGGGCCCCAGTTCTCTTCTCTATGAATTTCAGGGAGGGGTGGACTAGTTGACAAGTCAGGCCCCTTCTAACATTCCAAGATCCTAACATTCCAGATCCTATCATCTCGATATTAATATAAAAATAATCTCTCACAAAAGCTCACACAAACATAATACAAGATCAAATATCAGAATGACACTTGGAAAAAAACATATATGATTAGCTATCTGGGCTCTCCTTTGCAGCAATTAGGCAATCATTTGGCATTTGTTTGATTGTATAATTTAATGACAATATAAACAGCATAGTTTTGTCATGTTTCCTTTAAAAAGACCAAAGCAAAAATGGTTTAAAGCTAACAAAAACTACTATGACATCAGTTTGACATTCAGACTTTGTTTCTTAGCAAAATGGCCAAAGATATTTTGACTTGATACAGAGTATATATATAATATAAAGTTACTTTTAGACCTAAAAATCTTCAAACATTATTTGAATTTAGCAAAACATAAGCAAAATTTTAATATCAAAGTGCTAAACAGTACTGCCTTAAAAATCACTGCAAATGAACCATAAAATAACCACACGGAAAGAAACATTCATTTTACAAACGGCTAATAAAAAGACACATTATAAATATATATGTAACCTGCTATATTTATATATATATTTGCTTATTTAATTTCTAAGTGGTGTATCCAAGTTCACTGTGAACAGCCCATTTAAGTACTCTGTAACTCAGCTTCCAGGAGCTGGTGGTCTTGCAATAAATACAGGCAAAGCTATTACAATATAACGTGCATACAAATGTTTATACAAATAAGGACACTATGCAACAAATTATCTCTTAATAATATGGCATTAACAGTATAAACATACAAAAGGGAGTACGAACACGGAATGTTGAAACGCAGCCCACTAATTCTTTCTAGTACTTACATTCACACTATTTTTTTTATAATAAGACTTGCCTGTTCTCCAAAATTGTCTCATTAACCAATAACAAAAATTAAATTATATATACTTTAAAAAACTTTATTATCCCTGGTGCTTACCCTGTATGATCCATTTCTACTTATTTGCATGTTCTCATCTAGGGTTCAAATACTTGAAACTTACTGAATGCTCCTGGGGCTTCTGAATGAATGCGAGTCAGTTTCTACAACTGAAGCAAGTTTAGGGAACTCTGGCAGGATTCACAAAACATGACAAAAAAGAAGCTGTGTGGCAATCCGGCTTATCACCCGAGCCCTCTTCAGAGCAGCTGGACAGTCAGGGCAGCAACGGCCTGAAGTCTTGGATGGACCACGCCTCAGAAGGGCTGCACAGGGCAGGTGGACAGAGCCCCTGCTAGGGAAATTAGCATGTGTCATTCGCTAACACGGCTGCCTCCTTTTTATTTCCATACAAAATAAAGGAGAGTTAATAAACAAGACTTAGTAAGACAGCACTTTTAAAATTGCACTTGTATATGGAAGTGAACAGCCATTACCGTTTCGCTATGTCTGATGTATAGGTAATCCTCCATCTTTCACCATTTCTTAAAATAAAACAAAGGAAGAAGAAACTAAGAAGAGAAAATTTCTGCTTTGTTTTGCACCACATACGTACCCTTGATACAAAAAGTGTACTCTAAAGGGATCAGTCTCAAGACACCTCCTACCCGGGCGAACAACCCTCGGCTGTTCTTGTTTTTAAATACGAACCAACTATAATTGTATTCCCCAAAAAGAGTTTTAAAACAGTTATATTATCCTTTTTTTTTTTTTGCTGGGATAGCATTGTCCAAAAGTGCTTTGTTAGCAATTTCTTAGAAAACCCTCATGAACTATACCCTCCTCCCACCCCAAGCCCAAAACCTAAATATAAAACACAACCCCAACACAATACTCTGCGAGTTTTCTGGCTTTCAGATGTAAGGAAAAGTGCCAGAAAAAAAAAAAGTCTTTCATTTCGACAGGAGCTTGCTTTCTCTCTTAAGGAAGGACAGAAAATGGTAGGTGTCCAGACCCCCTCCCTCTGCTCCTTAGCAAGCGGCTGCTAGCAGATGAGGCTGCTCCTGCTCAGAAAGGCAGGGTGTCCAGGAAGAGCTTGTCGATGATGGAAGGTGGGGACACCAAGTCTTCCAGCTTCAGGTAGAAGATGCGCTGGAGGCCCAGGGTGCAGATCTTCCGCAGCTCCACCAGGGCACGCAGGACCTTGGGCTCCGTGGGCTCCAAAGCCTGCCCCTGACTCTGGTGCTCCTTCAAGCTGCTGGTGATCTTGTTGCGTAGCTCCTCCGCTCTCTTTGGTTCTTTTAACCCATGTCGTTCTGCAGAGGGACACAAAAGGATGGGAAAATTGAGGAGGCAGTTACATTGCAAAAACCCCCGAATTCCTCATGGAGGCCTGTGTCCTGTTCTGCCAGTTGGGATGGCATTTTACAGTCACAGTGCCCTCCCTCTTAGAGGTAGTTCATGGCCTTTAGTATCAAATGCAGCTTCCCAGGTGGTGCGAGTGGTAGAGAACCCGCCTGCCAACGCAGGAGACATGAGAGACACAGGTTCGATCCCTGGGTTGGGAAGATGCTCTGGAGGAGGGCATGGCAACCCACTCCAGTATTCTTGCCTAGAGAATCCCCATGGACAGAAGAACCTGGCGGGTTATGGTCCATGGGGTCGCAGAGTCAGACACCATGGCAGTGACTTAGCACGCACACACACAGTGTCAAAGAGCACTAGGGACTCAATCTCAGTCCTGTCACTTACCCAGTGTCCCCAGAGCCCCTTAACTTCTGAGCCACGATTTCCTTACAAAATGAAGATAACGATCATACCCAATTCAGAGTTTCTAGGAGGACCAGCTTGGGCGAATAACACAGATGAAGCACACAGTTCCCAGCACAGAGCCACAGTGAATGAATAACAGGGTGGTTACTATTTTGCACACATTATCTGACTGAGGTCTTACAAAAGCCCCGAGCAACTCTTTTCAGAGTGATGCAGACACACATCCAGGTAAATGAGAAAATGTTGCCATCCTGACACTCACTTGGTAGTGGGGGCTGTAATTTTCCATTTGCAAATGCAAAAGCTGCCCTGATACAAAGTGCATTCTTGTGTTTTGATGCATTGAGAAGAATCAGCATTGAGAAGAATCTGGATTTTCTTTTTTTTATCCCCTCCCTCCCCACTCCCACACTCCTGTTGACCTATACCTGGCACATGTTTCTCGTCTGTGGAGATGGAAAAGTCCAAGAGAAGAGGAGGTGATGCAAGCATTTCGTAATGTGGCAAGACATGAACACCAGCAATCTTATATTTTATGAAATAATATATAAAATTATCCCTATGTTAAATAGTATGATCTCTTATTTTGTATAGATGGTTAAACGGTTTTCCCAAAGTCACACAACTGCTAAGAACTGGGATTTGAACCCAGTCTTCTGAGGAAGCCTTTGTCCTCTGGCTCCAGAGCAACGCTGCATCTCCTGTGAACAAAAAGGAGCCTGACATTTCAGGCCAATCAGTTTGCTCTCCCTCAGCGTGTAGATTTCAGAGCCTCTTTCCTGAAAGAAGACCTTGGCCCCTGTTATCTCTGTCAAAGTTCTCATCTCTCAGTATCTGCATGCTAAGTCGCTTCAGTCGTGTCTGACTCTTTGAGACCCCATGGACTGTAGCTCGCCAGGCTCCTTTGTTCATGGAATTCTCCAGGCAAGAATACTGGAGTGGGTTGCCATTCCCTACACCAGAGGATCTTCCTGACCCAGGGATCAAACTCACATCTCTCATGCGCCCTGCACTGGCCGGCGGGTTCTGTAGCACCAGCGCCACAGGGAAGCCCTCTTTCTCTCAGCATTTCTCTCTAGTCGCTCAGTCGTGTCTGGCTCTCTGCAACCCCGTGGACTGTAGCCCACCAGGCCCCTCTGTCCATGGAATTCTCACTTTCTTGTGTGGCAGAAACTAGTACAACATTGTAAAGCATTATACTCCAATTAAAAAAAACAGAAAAGGATAAAGAGAAGAAAAATAGGGCAAGTGTTGAGTAAAAAATAGTATGCCCTCATAATGGAAGATTCTGTAGACATCAAAAAGGATATGAAGGCTGTGGAGCAACATGGCAATACACACACTACTACATTAAATAAAGAACGGAATACAAAATGGTATCTAAGCTGTGCTACCATCTATGCAAAAATTATCCTGATATCTAGAGAAGGGCGAATGGAGTAGGAAATGGCAACCCACTCCAGCATTTTTGCCTGGAAAATTCTATGGACAGAGGAGCCTGGCAGGCTATATAGTTCACAGGGTCACAAAAGAGTCNAGTGGAGATCGATACCTCCTGCCAGCTGGATCAACCCTGGGCCTGGAATTCCTTGAGGAATTCAGAGACACTCCTGTTAGAAGCCAAAGGCACCTTCTTTGTTGTGTTGAACAGCTACTGGATTTGTGGCTTCTTTGCTCTTTCAAAAGGGTTGAGATAAAATTCAGTCTTCGGGCAAACTACTGCCAGCAGTCAGCAAGACTTTCAAACTACTAGGGAGGCACTAAGTGTCTGAGACCTTCCCAATAATCTGAAATTCCTGAAAACCCCAGTCCCTGACATTTCACTGTCAGGAACCTCCGTTTCTTCTTGCAGCTTGGGAAGCACGGTTGCAGAGCTGACGTACACAGAGTTCATAAATTCTAGGGCAGATCAGACATTTGGATTTTCCCCTTTCCTATATACAGAGTTCAGTTTAAGATCTTTGTCCACCATTTAATAAAGCAAGCTTCTCAGTATCTGTTGCATTTTGATCTACATCATTTTCATCCAATATGTATTTTAACTCAGCTTCGTGTATTCAAAACTTTAAAATACAGATTCTGTAAAGAATCTGCCAGTCAAAGCAGGAGATGTCAGAGATGTGGGTTCGATCCCTAGGTTGGTAAGATCCCCTGGAGGAGGAAATGGCAACCCACTCCAGTATTCTTGCCTGGAGAATTCCATGGACAGAGGAGCCTGACAGACTCCAGTCCTTAGGGCTGCAAAAGTCAGAATGAGCATGCATGCCACACATATGGATTTATGTGTCATAACCATAGAATATGTGAATTGGAAAGAATTTGAGTCATTTAGTTCAAACTCTCTCCTAAGACAAGAGTCTCCACTACAAGATACTACAAAGACACCAGCCAGACTGGGAGCTCACTTTTACACCATGATAATAAAAATATATTTAGTAGTATTTTACATTACATTTTAAAAACAGATTATTTTATTGCACCCCCACCATAAAGCTAGGAACTAGGCAGGACAAAGATAATCTTTATTCAGTGAATAAGAAGGTTAAGGCACAGAGAGTTAAGTGATTTGCCACTGTCAAAATTAACAAGTGGCTAATTTCTTTCATGCCAAGTCCAGAGATATTTCTATTATAGCTGGTTGCCTTGAACATTGTTGGACACTCCCTTCTCTTCCTGAGATGAACTCAGCCTCCCTGTAACTCCCTCCTACTTTCTGTGTATCTAATTAGCTAATTGACTAATTGCTTCTTTCAACAAATATTTGACTATCTGTTCTGTGCCAAGCAGTGTTACAGCCACTGGGGTGAGAACAGTGAGCAAAGCAAAGCACCTTCCCCGGTGGCTCAGACGGTAAAGAAGCTGCCTGCAACGCGGCAGACCTGGGTTCGATCCCTGAGTCGGGAAAATCCCCTTGAGAAGGGAATGGCAACCCACTCCAGTATTCTTGCCTGGAGAGTCTCACAGACAGAGGAGGCTGGCAGGCTACAGTCCACGGGGTCACAAAGAGTTGGACACCACTGAGCAACTTTCACTTTCCGTGCCAAGCAGTGTCATAGCCACTGGGGTGAGAACAGTGACCAGAGCACTGGGGTGAGAACAGTGACCAGTGACCAGAGCACTGGGGTCAGAACAGTGACCAGTGACCAGAGCACTGGGGTGAGAACAGTGACCAGTGACCAGAGCACTGGGGTGAGAACAGTGACCAGTGACCAGAGCACTGGGGTGAGAACAGTGACCAGTGACCAGAGCACTGGGGTCAGAACAGTGACCAGTGACCAGAGCACTGGGGTCAGAACAGTGACCAGTGACCGGAGCAGTGGGGTGAGAACAGTGACCGGAGCAGTGGGGTGAGAGCAGTGACCGGAGCAGTGGGGTGAGAACAGTGACCGGAGCAGTGGGGTGAGAGCAGTGACCGGAGCAGTGGGGTGAGCGCAGGAGCAGGGTGGGCAACAACAGAGTGCACTCCCGACCTGCTGCGTGTTAGTGTCCAAAGACACGGCTGGATTCCGGGTCATCCTAGCTAGCCACGCAGCAGACATCTCTGCTAGGAGAGAGCGGAAGGCAGGGAGGCAGGCAGTGGGGAGAAGGGACTCGAGGGGGGGAAGGAGAAGGTCCGAAACAGAGAGAGGTGGGGAGAGACTGACTGCGTGGAAAAAGGAAGCTGTTTAGCTCTGTGCCCCTGTTCCTCCCCCTTCACCAGGTTTACATCTACTCATCCTGAAGACTGCAGACCAAGTATTTCTTCAAGGACGCTTCCCTTTTCACTCCCAACCTAGATCTTGTTCTCCTATGGTGTTTCCTCTATGTTTTTCCCTTTGAAGGATCTAACAGGTTGAAATCAGATATTTTTTGTAACCAGTGCCCGCCTCTCCCATTGAATGTAAACTCCATGGACTGTTGCCCACTTTCTCACTATTCTATGGTTATTATTTGCAGTTTAACAAGATGTCCAATAACTTGCATGCAGGTGAAAGTTGGAGAAGCTGTTGTTACAGTCAATCCCAGTCCCCATAAGATGTCTGATACAGTATACAACAAGCGTTCATTCAATCTCTGCAAATCTCACTCCTCAAGGCAGGAACTCACTCCCCATGCCTGCTTATTCCAATTTCAAATAGTTCTGAAGCTTCCCTTATGTTGAGCTAAACTTTGCCTTCCTGCAGTTTGCAGTTCTGCCTCTTAGGCCCACACAAGAAATGCCAAATCCTCTTCCTCATGGCAAGGGTCGGGGGTAAGGAAAGGAGTGATGGTACCATTAGCAGCCTCGATAAGGAAAAGGAACTTCTTTGACTTTGAGCAGGTCTTGGCACAGGCTGACTCAGTAACAACAATACAGGTCCAGCCAAAGGGGAAGGAGAGCGCACCCGGGGAGAGATGTGTGTGTGACTCAGACGCACACTAACAAGCAAGACTTCCTGCTCGGAGCTCGACTCCTTTCTCTGGGAAGTCATCTCACTGCTGCTGCTCGTGTCATAACATCCTTTCCTGATGGGCAGCCCCACAGGCGCCGAGCCCACACTGATCAGGAAACCACAAGCCGGTC